ACTATCACTGTATTGGTATGACTTCGCATAGGACAACGTAAAGAGAAGCACGTGATGAAAAAATCAATTATGATAATGGAAAAATAAATTATTAATGGGATAATTAGTTTGTACATCTTCAACGGTAATGGAACTGAAAAATCAGAGTCGAACAAATTAAAACATTTACTAATCGGATTAATTGAGGTTTTGATTTTGTTTCAAATTTAAAATGTTATAAATATGTTTTTTTTTTCTAATTTTTGTTGCTCTTTCAAGTTATTAAAGGTATCACTTGAGAATCGGAGCTCGCCATAAGAAATCTTTTATAACAAAAATTGTTGCAAATTTTATTGTTAACAATAACACAATTGCACTTTTGCTCTTAGATGCGTCAATATCGAGATAGATACAAAAACATGAAAATTTGATGAATTTGTTGCTTTTTCAAGTTATTAAAGGTAACATTTGAGAATCGGGGCACGCTATAAAAAATCTTTTATAATAAAAACTGTTGCAAATTTTATTGTTGACAATATTGCTCTCTTGCACTTTTACTCTTAGATGCGTCAATATCGAGATAGATACGAAAATATGAAAATTTTATGAATTTGTTGCTCTTTCAATTTATTAAAGGTAACACTTGAGAATCGGAGCACGCTATAAGAAATCATTTATAATAGAAACTGTTGCAAATTTTACTGTTAACAATATTGCTCTCTCGCACTTTTGCTCTTAGATACGTCAATATCGAGATAGATACGAAAATATGAAAATTCTATGAATTTGTTGCTCTTTCAAATTACTAAAGGTAACACTTAGCAATCGGATCACGCTATAAGAAATCTTTTAGAATAGAAACTGTTGCAAATTTTATTGTTAACAATATTGCTCTCTTGCACTTTTGCTCTTAGATGCGTCAATATCGAGATAGATACGAAAATATGAAAATTTTATGAATTTGTTGCTCTTTCAAGTTATTAAACATAACACTTGGGAATGGGAGCTTGTTATAAGAAAACTTTTATAACAAAAATTGTTGCAAATTTTTTTGTTAACAATATTGCTCTCTTGCACGTTTGCTCTTAGATACGTCAATATCGAGATAGATACGAAAATATGAAAATTCTATGAATTTGTTGCTCTTTCAAATTACTAAAGGTAATACTTGGGAATGGGAGTATACTATAAAAAATCTTTTATAACAAAAATTCTTGCAAATTTTATTGTTAACAATATTGCTCTCTTGCACTTTTGCTCTTAGATACGTCAATATCGAGATAGATACGAAAATATGAAAATTTTATGAATTTGTTGCTCTTTCAAGTTATTAAAGGTAACACTTGGGAATCGGAGCATGCTATAAGAAATCTTTTATAACAAAAATTCTTGCAAATTTTATTGTTAACAATATTGCTCTCTTGCACTTTTGCTCTTAAATACGTCAATATCGAGATAGATACGAAAATATGAAAATTTTATGAATTTGTATACTGCCAGACACCTCGAATTAAGCAAGCCTACAGCCTTGTACTGTATTCCAGACTCAAGTATTTGCTATTAACATGGGTGTTAAAATCCTTCTTGAGAGAGTGGTGAAGAACATGATAGTACGAATTTTCTCAGACAGTCAAGCCGCTCTCCAGGCGCCTCAAGCCGTGAAAACGGTGTCGGCTCTGGATAATGATTGTATGAAAACATTAAACACACTGAGTTGTGATAACAGAGCTTCTCTGATCTGGGTCCCGGGTCACTCTGTGGTTGCGGGCAATGAAGCGGCAGATGAGCGAGCACGAGAGGGCAGCTCTAAAGCGTTTGTGGGGCCGGAATCAGCAGTTCGTTTATCATTTGCGATGGCCAAATATAGGATTGGACTGTGGGCTTAAGAAAGACTTCGCCTACTGTGGACCAGTTCTCCTAGAATGAGACATGCTAAGGTGTTTATTAACATCGCCACTGGCAAACCCGGGAACTTTTTAGGACTTGCTCATAGCAGCATAAAAGTTCTAATGGGTGTCTTTACTGGACATTGCCGATTATACCTACAAGAAGATCACTATATACTGTAATAATATTGGGTTCCATTCATAATTTTATTAATTAATTAATAAACAATAGTTTTGTTATAAGAAATAATTACAATAAAGAGGAAATAATGACATTCCGTAGAAAAATCCTTGTAAATCGAGAGCCTAGAGAGTTTATTAGTACTTCTCCAAATCGTTCAAATTAATATTATAATTAAAATATAAAGAACAACAAATTTCATAAAAGTTTGTTATAGTTCTCATTGATTTCGTCGTTATTTGTAGAAATGTTTTAATCAATGATAAATCCGTTCGTATTTCCGTCGTAGATTAAGAAATATTCTTGTATTTAGTTAATAAAAAAGAGGCCACAAAAAAACGAAACATAACCTCCAAATCCAAAGTATTCAATTTATGGGTGATTACAGCCAAAAAACTTCTTGAAATACCTAAAAACATAAAGCTTATAATGAATTACATCAGATTCAAGTGATTTTAATCAGTTTAAAACCGAAATGTTGAAAATTAAAAATTTGAAAATTTTGAAAGAAACGGAATATAAATTTTGGAATTAAAGAATAATTAATGTGAAAAATTGTGTCAAAGGGGCATGAAATAATTCAGAGTATTCATTGAGACATTGAAGGATTTCAATAAATATAGTTTATTTAAAAAGTAATTTTTGAAAATTTGGAAGAAAAACCAAATGTCAATAAGAGATGGCGCTCAGAAATACAAATTTTTTACACTTTTTCTTGTGGTATCAAAGAGGGTGATGGACAAAAAAGAGAAGTTTTTGTCGATTTTTGCCGAAAAAAGGGTGAAAAATGAATAACAAGGACGCGAAAATTCGCTTCCTGATCATCATTGAGTAAACATCTATTTCGAACGCTCGTGAAATCCTACGAAGATAAATTTCTGAAGAAAAAACATACATAACCAAAGAAATTCACAATTGAGGAAGAAGAAAAGAAGCTAAAATTAATTAAGAAGAGTACGATAACCAACCTGGGAAAGAAGACATCGGAATAGTCTTTTCCGGAAAGCCACCAAGGGGGTGCCAGCACATTCCACCAAGGGAGAAAAAGGAGCAGTTCAAACCAGGGAGGAATCAAGATTTCAATCAATTCCACCAACATCTGTAAAACCAAAGAAGTTAAGATTTTTTTTTATTTTCGATATACCATTTCTAAAAAAATAACTCACTTACCTCGTGTGTAATCCAGAGCGAATCAAAATCAATTATTTCAGATCACTTTGATTATTTCAATTATCAGAATCAATTTATTTAAGAAGTTTTAGAGCTGAAAGTTATAGATTAACTTAAATGTTTTTTTTTTTAAAGATGAGCAAGTGTTTCGTTTACATGAGCTCTAGAAAACAAACCCTGAGATCGTTTACTTTCGTTATTTTTTTTGTAGAGTCTCGTGTTAGATATTTTTTTTTTGTTTCAATAATTTTATTTGTAAAGTATTTTTTCTATTTTCTATTAAAGATTGTTATTTATTTATTGTATTTAATTAAAGTATTTTTATTCATTTTCGAAAGACGAATACACATATTATCACAATACCTATCTCAAACAACCATATACACCTCCACGAAAACCTCCCGAACTTTAAAATAGCTGCTCTATCTATACTATTTTATTTTTCAGTGTGTTTAATGTAAAATTGTTTGTATTTGTGTTAGAATACCTCATTTTAACCTGTTAAAAATCAACCTATTCAAGACAAGAAAATTTAAATTGAATACACGACAATCACATCTGATAGATTACAACATTAAAATAGAAAATATACCATTGACAGCTTCAAATTAACCAAAAATATAATAAAGGTAATTTATGATACCACATGTTTAAGAATTAACATTTACATTTTTAATAGCGATTTACTTTAACAAAGTATCACATAACATATTTAGATTTTCAAAAACTGAATTGACGTAAGTTAAAATGTTTTAGAAAATTATATTATGATAGAAAATGTTGTAATAATAACTAATTTATAACTTTAGGAACTCCTGAGGATTTCGCCAAAAGAGCGAAACCGGTACTCTACCGGTTTACTCTAATAATAAACACATTTCACCTTTAAGTGCAAAATTTGTTTAATTAATTATCCAGGTAAAAAAAAAAATGAATATAACTTAAAAACCCAATTTTAATTCCCAAATTCCTTACCCCTTCATATGTTTATTCTATAATTTATAAAATAAACTCAACGTTTAACATTTTACTTTTGGCAAAATTTTTATTTTGCCAAAATTTATTAGAAATTGATTGAGTTTTTCACTCTTTAATTTATACGAGGTCTACTTGTTCATTATACATTGTTACATACTTTTTAATTTTTAACATATTTTTAATTGATAATCACTAATGAAAGAAATTGATACGTTTTTAATTTCAATAGGAAAATGAAATAACTTAAACTAAAACTATGAAAATAACGTCGTGAGATTTTATACATATTTTTTCCCTATAAAAACCACAAAGCTTTATATTGATAAAAACCGCAAAGCAATATTGATAACAATGATAACATACATAAACCGTAAAGCTATATAGATTACATACATAAATAAACACTGATTTATTAATAATAATATTACGGTGACCCCGAGCTAATGTATTGATACTATCAGAATCAATCCACCGCTTAGAGTCATGAGGTGATAGGACTAATTTATTCTGTAAAATGGTAAAAATTTCATGATTAAAACTTCTGAAGATGAGGTGTTTTTTAAATAAAACCGATTTCATACACAAACAGTATAAATAATTTTCAAAAGTGAAAACATATAATTAAATAAAAGTATAAAATCCAACTGACTATGAAAAGAATTAATAAAAATTAAAGTAAAAAGAAAAAATATATCAATTACCGCTGAAACGTTTTCTGCGGTAATATAGCAGAAATTTTATTTATTATTTATTTGTTTATAAACAAATAAAATTAATTAAAAAGTAAAAAACTAACAGAGTAATCATTACTGTAATGTATCCATATTCATAATTATTTAAATAAATTATAAAACGTTTAAACTATAAAATGTATGCTTAACAAATTAATTAAGTAACAGGTCATCGTCCGTTGAACCATATTACCGTGGTAAGCAGTATTGCTGTAATACTTTTGATTACTCTTTTGTAAGAGGTAGAATTGTACGAACCTTTGGGTAAAATACATTCACATGTAGTTGGGAAAAAACTCATCCATTTTAAAACCTAACAACCTTCAACAATACCACATTACCTTCAGCGGTTAAGTCGACCATGACTAATGGGTTGAGTGGCATTACTCCTCCGACTATAAATAAAATAAAAGTATAAAAACCAACTGACTATAAGAAAAATTAATATAAAATTAAAGTAAAAAGAAAAAATACTTACACTTTATAAAAAAACACTCCTCGCAATGAGTAAATAGTCGGTGGGGGTCACATAACTATAAATTATGTGCTCCCCTTGGACGAGCAAGTCCTCAATACAACCATTTGTAGTCAGAATCATTATAGGTTAAAAAATTAATATTACATATGGAAAAATTAATTCTAGTATAGGTATAACGGTGTAACAATCATTTGATTGATACAAATCATAAATCCCCTGGATTAGATCCCAGGGGATTGGGGCGTACTCATTCTCGTTGTTAGGCATGATGTGTTACATAACAAACTTTAAACTAACTTTAAAAAACGTAAGACACTCAATTTATACCAAGAGATAATATCTAAAAATTAATGACTACAGGAAGGTCGTGGTTTTAATATGAATAATTCTCATTATCTCCAGGAAGAGTCGGTTTTTATGGTTTTTAATATCAATTTGTTTATAAAATAAAATATTCCATGTAGATTTTTTAAAAAAGATTATTATTTATAAAACTTAAAAATTAAACAATATTATCTTTAGATATCCAACTGTTATGCGTTGAATCAAAACCTAACCATTTTACATGCAGCATATTGTTTTTACGTTTTAACACTTTCTCAACAAGATATGCATCTGATTATCTAGATTTTTGAAGTTCAAATTCATAAAACACACCTTTAATCGGCTGCCCAATATACAGGGTGGTTCAGTTTTTAATCGGGAAACTTTACTAGAACGTAGTAGTTACTTGCCAAAATAACACAAATTTTTTATATAAACTATGTTTATATAATCGGTCGCATCTCTTTTGTTTTCGAGCTATGAGCTGTCAAAGTTGAGCCAAAAATTTACATTTTATCTTTTATTTCGGGTATAAGTGAACCGTAGAATTTGAAATTTTGTATGTATGTACTACTGGTTAACAGCTTATTTTCAACCATACCTTAAACTTCCCTAGCGCCCTCTAAGGGGATATAATTCACAGCCCCTTTGACTTTTTTCTAACAACTTTTTAACGGCATGGAATATTAACATAAAAAAGTATGGGTTGTAAAGCTTATTCATTATTGGTACTTTTTTGTCTCTTTAGATTTTTCCTTGCAGATAATAGTTTTAGCGTAAAAAAAAATATGTTACATTACAATGCTATTATTTAAAAAAATGTTTTCTTTATAGCTGGCTGTGGAAGTTGTGCACTTACTAGGGTCTAGTACTAACTAAATCACACCCAATTAATTGTGATTTTCATAAGAAAAACCATAAATAAGATCAATATCTGTCTCTTGCTTTATAATAGACAAAAATTATTAACAGAACCAGAACAGGTATGAGTTGGCCTGTCACCCGGTGCCTGCTTGACGTTGAGTTTCGGGACATCCTGTATAGAGTCACAGTTAAGACAATTAATCGAGTAAACGCCACTTGTGTCCAATTTATTAAGATTTAAATTATGGTTAGATAAAAGGTTAACTATTGTGTTTCTATTTGAATAAATTAAGGAAATGTTATATTTGGAGAATATGGGTTTCATTTGTATAAGGCAATGGTCAAAAGGGTAAATGCAATGCAATGGTAAAAATATATGTGTTGGGATTTTTCTTATATAGAGGATCGAGTTGAAGTTTTTTAATATTTTATCACATCGTTTTGCCTATCATTGTTTCGTCTCTTTTTAGCTTGTGTTGATGTGCTCAATAATAATAATAACTTTTACTTGGTGTAATTGTCATTGTTTGACGATCTTTTTTAAGAACTTTGACTGTAAGTTTTATATTTTATTTTCATCTGTTTTTGTAAAGAATAGATTTTAAAATGTAATTTAGTTCGAATATGTATTCACAATTTCTATTTTGTTTTGTAGATTCAAACTGATGATGGCCTAATTATGGCCGAAAACCGGTTTGTTGAGTAAATTAAATTAAAATTATTTAGCGAGAAAGAAGTTTCTATTACCTTCATCTATTTCTTAATTATAGTCCTCGCAATATGGATATACAATATCACTTGATTTAACACCTCTTGATTTTTTTTTTGTGGGGACGCCCCACAAAAGGATAATGTTTAACGCGAAGTACCGACTACGCCAAAAAACATGAAAGAGCGGATAAGACACGCATGCAGAAATAGTAGCCAAGAATAGTATATTATTCAACAAGCGTATAATGGCGGCTGTTACCCACGAAGAAGAAGTTGCAACACGAGCGAGCGAAGCGAGCGAGTGTTGTAATCTGAGTGGGTAACATCCATTATACGCAAGTTGAATACTATACTTTATCTACAACTATTTAATTTTATCAAAAAAACGAAAAAAAAATAAACTTGATAGACATTTCAGACATAACCTCAATATAAGAAAGCTGTCATTTCTGTTAATATTTTATTTTTTGATTAGTAGGCAGTGTCAGAAGTGTGGAATAATGGCCTCATTATTCAACACTTTGTCTGTCATGGGTAATGAGTGTCATTACCCGTCAAAAATCAATTGTATAACGAATAGATAATTCAATAGTTGTAGATAAAATCTTTTAAGATGTAAAAAAAGTTTTAGTAGAAGGGTTAATAAATGTATTGAAGTGGGTGGGGAAATATTTGAACATTTATTATAAATTTTATACTTGTTGTTGATTGATAGTATAGTTTAATCATTTTTTTATAAATAAACAATATTTAAAACTATTTGAATCGTCGTACTGGCAAAACCACACGGTAATGTTTTTTTTAATTATGTAACTTTTATCCATAGATTTAGATTTTGCAATCAAAAGCATAGGGTGCCATTTAAAAAAATTGTCGTGACCTTCATATGCCCTTGAAAATAAGGTCAAGGTCAAACAATGTTATCGTTATATGGTTTCCCCCTTTGCACAGAACAACTTTCATTTGGTTCATTTTTATGTAAAATGAACCGTTTTCGAGATAATCGCTTGTCTCGCGTTAAATGGGCCAGCCTGTATAAAGACATCGACCACTAAGTAGTGGCTATTAACACGTTGATGAGATCTTACTAAATTCCTACTCTCAGTTTTACATTTAAACATATGTTTGTTCAACACTTGTACTTGTATTTGCGTAACGTTTTCAATCAATAAGTATGTACAGAGTGGTTCAAATTCGATGTCCGAATAGGCTATCTAGGAAACTATAAGAGTTAGAAAAAAAGTAGCTTACATGTCATGATCTCGTTTTTCGAGAAACTGCTAATGTCAAAAACCTCAAAGCGCTATTGTATTTTGTTTTTCCCCTACAGGCCAAAATTGAAAATATCGTAAAACCAGCATGTGCAATTTTTTAGCACTTTTTTACAAAGTATTTCAAGACGTAGTCAAAAAAAAATTTCCAGTTTTAGATTTTGAGATATCATGACAATTTTCGTTTTTTTAAATGGAAACAACCACTGATTATTCGCTTATTAAATTCGTTATTTTTTTCTGATTACAAAAATATATTGTTTGGCAGGTCTATTTCTTATTGTTTTAGAATATAACTAAAAATAAACTTTTTTTTAGTGTCGTCAAAGAAATTAAATTTACAGTTTCCTGTAAATTACGGTACTATAACCCTTGTTTATAGATATACACAGTTATCCAAAGAATTTAGTTCGTGGTCGTGATGCCTAGATGGCAGGGTGACTTATGGTCGCTAAAGTCCCTAGATGTACAAAGTACCTGACTTGACCGTGTAGGGTTGGCGCCAATATTTCCATCAATAATGAGTCAGTGTAATAAATTCAACATTCAAAATTAAATACCTACCTTTATTTAATTGTAACAATAACAAAACATGTCTATCAACACACTGAAAAACATAATATATGTTATTTTAAGCCTTTAAAGGGCAAATTATTTTTTTTTCGTTTTTAGAAACGATTTACTTGTAGTAATGCAGCTATTTGACCTTATTGATAAGTGATCTCTATAGAAGCCACTAACCATTAAAGGGTTAACTCAGATGATTTGAAAACAGGTTTAATTCTTATTTTCTACATTACACTTACAATCAGTTCATTCAAACAGTTCAATACGATGAAGATACTGTTGGTTCATCCAGTTCATTCAGTTGGTCTTGTAGGACATATATAAAGGTTTCACAGGTTTCTATTACAGCTTTGCTGATAGTTGCTGGGGACATTATAACAGAAAACTTCAAGTCTTCAAAATTTCTTTCTGTGGCCAAGTACCACAGTGTTAAGGCAAATCTTTCCCTAACACTTGTACTTTTTCTCATATTGCGATCCTGTCTTTTTGAAAATGGTCCAACCATCTGTAACAGTTTGTTAAAGCAACTTTCATCCATTCAAAAGTAGTTTTTGAAATCATCAACATCGCAGAGGTTGATTTCTATCAACAGTACTAGATAAGAATATTCATCTCTCTTCTTCAACCATTCTTTCATCCAGTGTTTGCGTTTCACTCGAAGAGTAGTTCCAAAATAATAGCTACCCAAGCTTTTGTACGATTATCCTTATTTGGAAAGGAAAAACCGGCAAATAACCGAGTAAAACTACGTAGATTCACCCTGTTCGTGTTAAAAAGGTAACTTATTGAGAAAACTTATTGACAAAACTATTGACAATAATATTGATCGTGTAAGGTAGTGAAGTATTGAGACTGGTTACCACGAGGATTGACGGTTGTATTGTAAATACTGACATTGTCAATACTGTAATCGCTAAAGGGTACATGTTTTTTGATAAACATGTTTTTCGAAGAAAGGGCCAATTGCCTATAATCTCACACAACATATTAACTGCCCAACGTCGTTAGTAATTCGTTTCACGTAACCAATAAAAAATTTCTAGTAACATAATAAAGCATATTTGCATCCAATGACAAAATGAAATTGGCTTTTAGATATCATTCCTGAAGCTCTTGATGCAAACAGCGTACTGGTGAAATTTATGGCAATGTAAAAATCTAAGTACGCTGCCTTGGGATACAGCAGAGTAACAGCTTAAACATTGAATTTCTTGTAGCGCCTTCTTCTCTATTGAAGATCTTACACAAGATAGGATGTGTCTGTCTAGAAATCTATGTTCGAATAAATTTTGGGCAACATTAATATCTCTGACTGCTCCATAAACAAAAGTCATTTTAGTTTTTTTCAGCAATCGTGTCCCTTTCCATGCATAATTAAAATAAGCAATAAAGTTACTATTTTACAACATAAGTAATTTGTAATTTGCAATTATAAGTAGTTAGCAGGATTTGTTATGTTTTTTGTTATTATGTATTCATGATTTTCATTATGTTCAGTCAACACAATAAAGTCACCTTAAAAAAGTTCATTAATATAATAGGCTGTTTCTAAATTAATGCGAAAGATTTCAAGGAGTGATTTTTCAGCAAAAATTAAGGAGAGTCCTATAAGTTTTTGGTCAAAACCCCTTCCCCGCCGAGTTACAGTACTCTAAAGTTAGGGGAAAAAATTGTTTTTATTTAATAAATCCACTATGGAGGAATTTAGAAGATTGAAATTTGGTAGGTAACTGTTGTTAATAAAATGACGATTTTTGTAACCGGAAAATGTTATTACAAGAGGCTGAAAAAACCAACCCCATAATACTTTGCATTAGAACTTTTTAATACGTCTACATTTTTCTATTTAAAAACTTGATTTAAATAGTGGGATTCAATACGCAACTTTTTTGTCTCTTGACATTTTCTCCTAAAATTGTTAGTTTGATCACAAAAAAATAAAATAGTACATAGGCTCAAGTGAATTAATTCAGAGATTGATTATTATTAATCAAAGAAATGAAGTTATGTCAAATTAACAATTTGTTAGTTGTAAAATGTCAAGAGATAAGAAAGTTGCAGATTTTCCCCTTAATTTTAGAGGGCTATAACTTGGAGGAGAAGGGGTTTTGAACAAAAAGTTATATGAAAGACACACCAATTTCACATCAATTTAGAAACACTGTATAATAAAATAAGAAATACATACTTCGTTTTTATTTATTTAATTGATTCTAATTAATATTTCTTAATTTTCGTATTCTAGTACTACCGCCACTTTACGCACACATACGTATCAAATACGTCATCATAGGAAGTATAAAATCAATAAAACGTTAAATAAATATAAAATGTTTTTGACTTAACAACATTTCGTTTTAAAACTGTGTAGTGTATGTTGAAATTTTGCAGAAACAAATTCTCTATAAACAAAATGAACAGTTTTTGCTTATAGTGAATGTGTTTCTGTAAAATTTTATCATGCATGGTTTTGGCAGAGAGGCTTGGGTCATTTGGCAGAGATCGCTTATGCGATAAAATGATCCATTTGCTGATACAGTTTAAGTTAAGTGTATCTTATGTAATTTTGTATTTTTGTCTGTGGCAATAAATGGTAAATAATTAATAATTAAATTTTAAAACAAAAACCAAAAACCTAATTCTAAAGATTTTTCAAATTCCCGGATAGAACGCTACCGCGCTACTAGCGCTAAATGAGGGTAGTCTGAACTAAAAACAACGTTTCATTTTAAGGTGGGGAACCCACCATCTATATTAGTATATTTATATATTTAATCTATGGTTTATCAATAATTTATTAAGGGCCGGTTGTACCAACTCCCGATAAATTTATCCGATAGATAAATTGGCCAATGAGAGCGCTTAAAACCGCTGTATCCATGGTAATTATCCGTTAGATAGTTTATCGGGAGGTGGTACAACCGGCCCTAAGGCCCACTTTTACCATCCTCCTGATAAACTATCTAGAGGATAGTTGCCATGGTTACGGCGGTTTTAAGCGCTCTCATTGGCTAAGAACTGGATTTATCTATCGGATAAATTTATCAGGAGGTGGTAAAAGTGGGCCTAAGTCATTTAATAATAATATTAAATATTAATAAAAAATGTGAAATATGTCTTTTTAATTTTTAGTTATAATTTAAGATGAGAGATTAAATCCTGTTTTCTAAGATGGATTACGAAAAGTTTAACATATTAGAATGTTACATATTAGAAAATAAAGTAAATTTTATATAAATTTTTAGTTATAGTACCGTAATTTACAGGAAACTGTAAATTTAATTTCTTCGACGATACTAAACAAACGTTTATTTTTAGCATTATTCTAAAACAATAAGAAATAGGCCCATATTTTTGTAATCAGAAAAAAATAACGAATTTAATAAGCGAATAATCAGTGATTGTTTCCATTTAAAAAAACGAAAATTGTCGTATCTCAAAATCTAAAACCGAAAAATTGTTTTTGACTACGTATCAAATTCTCTGTAAAAAAGTGTCCATATAATGTCGTAGTTATAATACTCCATCTATAATAATAACCAAGATAATTCATTAATTGCATTTGTTGGTTTTACATTTTTAATTTTAGCCTGTAAGGGAAAAACAAAAGACAATAGCGCTTTGAGGTTTTTGGCATTAGTAGTTTCTCGAAAAACGAGATCATGACATATTTTAAAGACTATTCAGTTAGTGTTCTAATAGTAAATGACTATTAATTAAAAGTTAACTAACATGTACATTTTTTTACATTATTTATTATGAAAAATATTAATACAAAAAATATATTCATTTTTAAATTAACATTTATATACCAAAATCGTTTATTTAATTAATTAATATTACTTTATTTAAGTATGCATAAAGTTTATGTAGGTACCTACTTTAAAAGAGCTATTACCAGAATCATATAGGTAATTGTGGTTACTTATTAGATGTGAATACATATATTATATTAAAAATTATAAAAATATATTAAGATAAATGTTAATACAAAAATAATATTTAATAATTAATATTTTGAATTAGTTTTTAGATAACAACTCAAATTTAACACCATTTTCTTGTAATTTTTCAATAATTGAAGTCTTAGCAAACGCTATTCCAGGTGGATAAACGCCGCCCCTAAAACAAAATGAACAATTAAAACATAATCATTGAAATAACTGTATCATTACTTTTCAGGCATTTTATCTGCTTCAGTAAGAATCATAATAGCTGAAAGTGCAAAAGCTGCACATGTTAACCCATATCCTGGATTCTTTCCGGATACTTTAGCAATAATTTCTTTATTTGGTGGGGAATCAGGTTGAAGAAGAGGATCTTTCAACTTTTCTGACCAACCTTTACCATGTAATTTTAAATTGAAAATAGTAGCTTCTTGACGTTCTTCAGATGGTCCTTCAGGACTAAATATTCCATAAGAAAAGAATCTGGGATACTATAAATTAAAAATAAAGGTTATTTAAATGTTATTTCCAACAATTTAGTAACAAACTTTAAGCAATAAGTTTCGGGTGAACGAAAACTGACTAAACATTGCTAACCAAAATCCATAAATCATTGCCAATATCATAAAAAATACTGAACCAAATCCTGAATAACAATTAACTTGAATAGGACGTTCATTGTATAAATCATAATTAAGATGTTGAGATCTTTTTATAACAGCAAGATCTGGCTCTGGTAGTGGTAAACACCAACGATTGATCACATCACTTTTATGAATTATTTTCCTATAAATTAAACAAAAATCAAACATACTTATATTCACATCATCTTTTTTAATTACATATTAAGTTTTGGCTGCATTGATGGAAGTTTTGTTTTAAACAACAATTTTCGCTGAGAATGAGTTTTAAAGAAGTTTGATAACATGTATATTATAGAATTATATGTACCAGTATTTACTGCTGGTCCACCTAGGTGTAAATCTGTTATGCTTGAATACATATATGTTTCAACAGAATTCAATGTTCCTAAAAATATTAAGTGTTATTTCTTGAGTAAAATGTTTCTTTCATTACCTTCAAAATTATTTTTTAAATAAACAATTCCCATCTCAGCTGGAATACTATCCATTCCACAAGCACTTACAATATAAATTCCTTTAGCTTTGGCCTCCTCATGGTACAACAATTGCATTTTTTCAATAAAAATAGATTCTCCACTAACATCAACATGGTGAGTTCCAGTTTCTATACAAGCTTTAACCACTTGTTCACCATAAAGAATATAAGGCCCACAAGCATTTATGATGATCCTAGCTTGAGAAGTCATCTTTATTAAGGAGTTTTCATCGTTTACATCCGCGATTATAATCGGAATATTATCGTAATTAACTCCTAAATAAAAATAAACTCAAAATTAACTCTAGATTTTTACAAAATTAGTTACAGATTAAGAGAAATCTAATCTTTAAATGTTTTTTTGTTTATACAGTTTAGTACTGATTTGGTTTCTCTAAATAAAATTAAATATGTATGTAGGTATTTATATTGAATATATGAAATGATATTTTTTACTTACCATTTCTTTGACCAAGTTCCTTTAACATTCGCTTGATTTTGGTCTCTGATCTTCCAGCCACACCCCATGTTAAGGATAAATTATGTTGTTTTATAATATTTGTAATATATGGGATGGTTCTGAGTCCCGTAAAGCCGGTAACCCCGAATATTACGATATCTAATCGATTAGCCATGTGTTGTTATAATATGTTCGACGTAGCGACTAACACACACGAAATGAATCAATGCAACCTCAACAGCATCTATTTATAGCCGGCTTTTTTATCAGCGTGACTCGACACAACCGTACTTGAACTTCATGTAGGATGTCTTTGGTTTCAGGCAGTTTTAATTTAATTAATCATAACGCGAAAACTTTCATCATTATTGTATTATCATTTATGTAGGGTATGATTATGTACATAATATAATTAATAATTGAATACTTATGATTGTTTTCACAATTATTTTATTGACAATTTAATGGCAGTCATTTATATACAGGTGGTCCATTTAACGTGAGACAAGCTCGAAAACGGTTCATTTTACATAAAAATGAACCCAGTGAAAGTTGTTCTGTGCGAAGGGGGAAACCATATGACGATAACATTTTTTGACCTTGACCTTATTTTCAAGGTTATATGAAGGTCACGACCAATTTTTTAAATGACACCTATACATAAATAAACGTGAATATTGAAATACGTTGTTCTAGAGCTCACTTGTAATTGATTAAGCTAAATATGCCTTATAGAAAAGTGAATAATTTAGAAAATATTTAAATTTTTTGCTTTTTGTACAAGTTCAGTACACACTCTTACAAACCTTGAAATAGTAGTTGCATAGTTGCTTTGGCAATGTATCGACTTCTCTGGATAGATTACATCCTACTACACATTTAAAGTCAAGAAATATTGTAAATATATTTCGATGGTTTAAAAATACAGGAAGTGAAATATTCAGGTTTTAAGTTAATTTTCAAACAAAGTGTTTATTCATGAGCGTCTATTTCAAAATTTCGATGATACATTCAGCATACAAATTATTGTAAAAACTTCTCTGTTTTGTTACTTTTCGAATGAGGTATGAAGCATGGCAGAATGTCTTTCCAATTAGCCAATAATAAGATAACAATTGGTGCGAGCACAATTTGAGCACTAATTTGGGGATATCACAATGAAAAGTCTGGTCAACTCTTCGACAAATGGGCAACCATCCTTATCATTACACACCTGTCCAGGCACTTGAAGACGGCGATCCTGAACGAAGGATTCAATTTTGCCGGTTTCTTTTAAATGCTGACATTCAGGATGAATATTTCTTGAGAAGGATTTTATGGACCGACGAATCGCAGTTTAACAGAGTAGGTATAACAAATCTTCATAATTTACATTATTGGACTGACGAAAATTCTCATCTAACGAAGGAATCGAGCAACCAAAGAAAATTTAGTGTGAATGTGTGGATGGGGCTCATTGGAAATAATTTGATTGGTCCTCATTTTGTCCCGATCATAATTTTTACTAATAGGTATGAGTTAAGTATTTATTCAGAATTAAAAAAGGTCGTTTTGCATTTTTCCAGTTGGTTCCTTATTGCAACAGGGGGGGTCCAATTGTGTTTCGCGCTGCGTGTTTTTGAGTTAGAGTTAGAAGTTATGTCACATGATTGTGTTAATTTTTTTTTAATGTTAGTTGCTTAATTTTTTATGGTTGTCTGAATTAACGTTATGTTTTAGTTCCAATAAGCAACAATAAATAGTAGGTGTAATCGATTTTGACTTTTATTAACTTTGGATAGGTTGTCAAAATTGTATTCGCGCCACTTGTTATCTTATTATTGGGTAATTCGAAAGACATTTTGCCATGCTTAATACCTTATTCGAAATGTAAGAAAACAGAGAAGCTTTTATAATAATTGGTACGCTAAATGTATTATCAAAATTTTGAAATAAACGCTCGTAAATGAACACATTATTTAAAAATTAACTTAACAATCGAATATTTCACACCCTATATTTTTGAAGCATCGAAATATTTAAAATGTTTTTCAACTTAAAATGTGTATTAGAGTGTAATCTATCCAGAGAAGTCAATACATTGCCAAAGAAACTATTATTACTCTCTAAATTTCAAGATTTGTAAGAGTATGTACTGAACATGTACAAAAAACAAAAAATTGAAATAACTCCTAAACTATTCAGCTGTGCATAAGGCATATTTGGCTTAATCAATTACAAATGAGCTCTAGAACAACGTATTTCAATATTCACGTTTATGTACCAGTCACCCTGCATATTTTATTGTAAAATCTGAATCTGTGGATAAAAGTAAAGTAATTAAAAAAAAAGAATAAAAAAATTTTACTTTGTGATTTTTCCAGTACAATGACAAAACATCTTTTGAAAAATATTGAAACTTGTTCAGAAACAATTAACTAACGTTTATAATCTAACAAGAACAAATAAGATTTATGAATTTTTAAACATTTTTTCTACCCGCTTCGATACATTGTCGTTAGATCTTCATGCATAGAATACTATTTAAGAATGCTCAACAAAAAAATCCAGAAGAGCTACATCGGGTGACCTGGTTCGTCGAAAATACCTTTGGAAAGAGGTCTAAAAGGTTCCGACATTTCTCCGCCTTTGTTAATTTGATTATAGAATAACGCATAAAAAACAAGAGTTCGTGGAACTCCTTATGTCGGCATTTTCAGAATATCGCTTTCAGAGACTTAATTAGTTGAATTGTTTTAAAATATAACAGGTAAAACTAAATTTGCATCGTTTTACATTAATACAAAGTGTTCAAACTAAGTCATGGATAAATCATGGATACTCTTAAGTGTGGCAGAAAAAGTCGAAATGATTTTTATTTTTGGAGAAAATGGCAGAAAAGTTGCTGATAGTATAACTTTGTATCGAGAACGTTTTCCTGATCGAAATACGCCTTCGAGAAGTACCTTTTCCAGAGCTGTGAATGATTTCACTAACACTGAAAATGTGGAATCAAGAAAAAGAACTCGGCGAGCAACTGTAACTACGGAAGAAAAGAAAATTGCGGTATTAGCTAGCATTGAGGTAAATCCTCAACGCATGAAGTTAGCACTCGACGACTTGCACTTGACGCCGGAATATGGAAGATCAGCATTTTATGAATATTAAAACGCAACAAGTATCACCCATACCACATTTCATTGCATCAACAGCTTTATGGAGATGATTTTGAAAAACGATTAATATTTTGTCAATGGGCACAAGAACGCATGCGGTTGGACGTCAATTTCTTTGGTAACGTTTCTTTGATTTCTTTGGTCTTTGGTAGACGCCCAGCCAAAACCACGATTTGTTGAAGTTCCCTTGCAATATTTAGTGGGCCAGACTTCGAGAAATGCTTCGAGAGATGGCCATGCTGTTTAAATTTAGTCACAGCTAGGCTCACCATACATTGGCTAATGAGTTGGCGATCAGAATATGTTGTATTAAAGAGGTCAACTACTTACTAAATCAGTTTTTGACACTTAGGAAATTGTTTAAAATAATTGGTTACCATAGTTACTCATGGCTACTGCTATTTTCATCATGTCAACAAATCTGAAGTAGTTATAAAGCAATTTTTCTCGAAAATTTTTTTATGTAAACAATATTAATATTAAATAATAATTGGAATTAATATAAATGTGTATGTGACATGTAAATGAAACACAACCAGAAGGAAGGATACCTTTGCACGTTAAAGACAGGAACAACAGAAAGGAAAAATCCCGGCGCTGCTAATTTTCCCATTCATTGGAGGTAGAAAAATAGCAGCAGCCATACGTAATCATGGCAACCAGTTGTTTCACATACTTTATTAAGACAATGATTCATTTTTGATATCTGAAACTGTTGGTTCCCATGGTTAGCTACTGCTATTTTGCTATCTCAATTGAATAGGACGTGTTCAATAGGATTCAGGTCAGGACTTAACGCCGGCCATTTCATGATCTGAATTCCACGTTCTTGCAAAAAGTTTCTGGTGATACCGGCGGTATGTGGTTTTACATTGTCCTGCATTAGGATGAAATTTTGACCGACCCCATATGAAGCACGCACCACATGGTCCTCCAAGATGTTTTCGATGTAATGCATGGCATTTAGTCTACCAGGAACATCAACAAGATCAGTTCTGTCTATACTGATTCCAGCTCAAACCATTACAGATCCCTGACCAAATCGTAAACAGTACAGGCGTTCAGTGACGAAGTTGCCAATCTCTGTGATCCAGAGCAAACCTCATTCTCGCTGCTTTGTGATAATGCGTAAGGCGTGATGCGCGGAGATGTCTTCTAGGTTTCAAATTAGCTTCTTTTAATCTGTTTCTAACAGTTTGATCAGAAATTTCTTTTCCATGTGTCTTAGGTCGTTTAAGAGGTCTCGTGCTGTGGTAGTACGCGTACGTAGACAGGAAAGGACAAGAAATCGGTCTTGATTTTGCGTAGTTTTTCGATTTCGACCTTGTCCATCTCTTCTAACATGTTGGCCAGTAACCGATTCTATAAACGCTGAATAACAAAAGGGGAAACTCAAAGATCGCTGCTAACATGTCAAACAGAGTGGCCATGCTGAATAAGGGCGACACGAATTCATTTGTCATCTTTAGTAGGCTAGACGTAACTAGGAGTTGTAACATTGTTTTTGTAATTTTCTTTAGTTAAATATATTATGTAGTTGAAATAAACCAAATTTGATTTGTTTAGAACTATTATTTAAAAAGTTACAGACTTCGAAAAGTGCTAGCCTAATTTTTTTGAGCAGAGTATATAAATATATAATAAACTATACATATAGTATAGTATATATAAATATATCTCTGTGTGGGTGGGACACAAAGATATTTAGTTTTTAATACATAATGTATAATAATGTATAATACATTTATAGTAATAATACAAACAATGTATTTTTGTTTGTTGATCGAATAGTTGGATTATTCATTTGTTGACTTATTATTTTTCTTGTTAGGTCTGCATTTTGCTGTATTTTTAGAAGATATGATTTTGCAAAATTAATGTCTGTATAGTCAGAAAAATATTTTTTCCTACTTTAAATGTGTAATTTAAAACAGCTGACGCAAGAATTACTGACTGAAACTTCCAAACACTTTAATTTTCAAAGAGTAAAGTGTCCTTTATAGAGTTGTTCTATTGCAAATAATAGCTGTTCCAGATTGCTTTAGGTATAATAAGTATATATTTGTAATATGGAATTGAAAATAGAAAAACTATGGCCACAGCAATCAACTAGACATTTTGGCAGCCAAACCTATTTTTAGTTATAACTTCGTAATGCTGTATCCCATAATTTTGATTTTCTAGAACAACTTGAATAACTAAGAAACTGTTTCAAGTTGTGTGAGTTGTAAAAATTTGAACGATGAAAAAGATATGACAACTTTAAGGGAGTTTTTTAAGGCAGGCAGCCCATCTGAAAGATAAATCAAAACTAATACTAAATTATTATTTATCGTCTTAAAAAATGCTAATGTACCAATTTTCATGTTCATAATGTAAGAGAAACCGAAATTATTAAAGAACAACGAAAATAAAGTATTAACTTTAACCATCTGTATCTTCGTTATTAATAACAATTGGACTAACATAAATTGGGTTAAATCGTAATAATTTAATGTAAGGAATTCACTGTTGCTCTGTGTCCCATTAGTAACGGACCAATCTGTATACAGAGTGTGTCAAATGTCTGGAATATAGTCAATAACTTCGCCATTTGTGGTTTTAAAGAGAAATGATTCAAATACAAGTTTCTTTATTAAGTGTGGCGCATTTTTGGCGATATTTGCTGTTTGTATTGTTTTTGTTTCGTTGCTATGTCAACCAACATTGTTATTTTAAATGGGATGCATATGATTTTTTTCATATTTAGATAGAGGATAAATCCCTCTACGCGGTGAACATTTCAAATTATATGGTTGTATAAGAAAAAAAATCGAGAAAAATGCGTTCTCTGAAAATATTAAATCAGCAAATTACAAAGTAGGCGCCAAATTGACACTTGACACAAAAAACAATATAAACAAGCAAATATCGCCAAAAATGCGTCACAATTAAAAAAATAAAATTTTTATTTGAAACATTTTTCTTTAAAACCGCAAATGGCGAAGTTATTGGCTATATTCCAAACATTTGACACACCCTGTATACAGAATGTCCCATATCATCCGGGTTAGAGCATTATACGGTTGAAGGATACATTATTCTGAAGCGATTTTTCTAATACATTTTTTTTGAAATGTTTATAATAACCGCACGGGAACTGTTTAAAGTCGTCCAATACCGTTCTAAACTCGTTTCTTACGTGTTTATTCCTCAAATATCTATAGCAGGTAATTTATTGAATAATGGTAAATAAAATAGATTAGTTTACCAAAACTGAAGACTTCTGTAATTTTTATTTTTCACACTGGGCTTTAGTTATTCCAAAAAAAAGAATAATGAAAATTTGAAAAAACTTTGGTGACGTCACCATCGTTTCGCACGCAGTCAGTTGAAATAAAAATTAATAAAAGGTGCATGAGCGAGATGCCACGAGAATCTTATGCGCTATAAGAAGAGATCCGAACGATGCACGTTTGTGTCTTCTTGATACTTCGTAAACGTCACCAAAGCTTTTATAGAAGGGATTTTGGGTTTTAATACTAATTATTGCAAAAATTAAACAATTTTAGGATCTGAAAATGTTACCAATTCCTCTATTTTTAAATACGTTAATTCAAGTTATTTTTGCTTGTTTGAATTAATTTTTATGTAGAATTTCGAATTTAACACCGTTTTCTTGTAATTTTTCAATAATTGATGTGTTACGAAATGCTGCTCCAGGTGGATAAACTCCTCCCCTATAATAAAAACAAATTAATATGAGCTGATAATTGTTGAAGTACAGTAGAACTTTAAAAATCTGAACTATTTAGGACCATAGGTAGTTCGGATTATCTAATTGTTCGAATTTTCAAATTGTTATATTTAACAATACATACATTAAAAACACTATTACATAATTATTTAAACTCATTTAAGAAAATCATGTTGAGTGAGCGTTGTCTGCTAAGTACTTCATTTACTTTTAATAACAAAAGTTGGACTTCATTATATAGCGGCTGAGCTCTGTGTCTAGAAGTTGCCGCATCCACTGATCCTCTTCTCTTTCACTGCCATCTTGGTCTCTACACACTTTAACTGAAGTAACAATATCGTTATCATCGAGCAATTCATAGCCCAGATCATTTTAGTCCATATCCAACTATTCCGCAGATCTGTCGCAGCATCAGATTATCTCTCCTTCGCATCTGATCATGAAAATAATTTCATGATCCTATTTTCCAATTGCTTTGTTGTCAGACCAAATCTTGTTCATCCTTTTTTTAGGATAAGATAACTGCATTATCTTTAGTTAAAAGAAATCTACGTAGCGTTCATTTTCAGTACATTCCCATTAGTTTTTCAAAGACACCTTTGCAATTGGTAGGTACCCTCATCAATAGGATTTAGCACTTCAACAAACTGGTGCCTTGGCGCTTGGTCTACAATTTTTTTTCCTTACGAAAATTTTTCACATTTGGCATGTTCATGTTTTGTTTGTTGTTCATGATTTTTGTAGTAAAATGTCGCTATTCAGCCAAGCACTTTTCTGTGCTCTATAAGTGTCTAGAAGCTGGATTACATTTTTGAAACACTTTGGCTTCTTACTTTTTTTAATGGCAAATAGAGGTAATGGCCATCATTAGCGTTTGTATAAGTCATTGATATAATTCGCTTCTTAATTACTTTAAAACCTGGAGCAGCTCATTTTCGGTGACAAGCTAACGAAGGCTGAAGATAAACCCTCCCCTTGTTTAGTTTCATTATGCCTTATCTTAATTTTAAATTTTCTTTGCCATCGTGTACTGGCGTTAAAGTCTGCAAGACCACCTAATTGTTCAATTAAAGGACTTTTTCACATATCAAGGATGAAGGTAAGCCCGTGTTATCTAATCTACGTCTCTTGGTAAACTATAATTACACGGCAACGTCTTCCGATTTGTCTTTTTTAGCCCTTGTTGTTTTCTTTCGTTTGGATCCATCATCTAAATGTACCTTGCATGTAAAATTTAAAATGTCGCCTTTCTTCTTTTTGATGTTCGATATTGTAGAAGATATTGAAGTTGTGTTATGTAGCCTTTCCCACTTCGCACATTTTTGCATGGTGTTTTGAAGGGTGATCCAATTTCACCCTTCTCAACTCAAGATCTCCACTTTACATTCAATCGTAAGAAATGTGTATATTCTTTTCAAAATGCTGTTGAAAATGATGACATAATGCAAATTTAATTAAGTTAACGTTAAAAAACAACCTAACACTGACATAAGATGGATTTTTTAACTTATTAAACGCGTTCAGATTTTTGACGTTCTACTGTATACAAATACTCAAATCCTTACTTATCAGGCATTTTGTCACCTTCAGTAAGAATCATTATAGCTGAAAGAGCAAAAGCTGCACACGTCACTCCATATCCGGGGTTTCTTCCCGATATTTTAACAATCATTTCTTTGTTTGGTAGAGAATGAGGTTGAAAAAGAGGATCGTTTAACTTTTCCGACCAACCTTTACCATGTAATTTTAAATTGTAAATAGTAGCTTCTTGACGTTCTTCAGATGGTCCTTCAGGACTAAATACTCCGTAAGAGAATAAACTTGGATACTACAAATTAAAATGAAACTAGAACACATTTTCAGCAATTTATCAACTTACTTTTAACAACAAATCTCGGGTGAATGCGAACTGACTAAACAATACTATCCAAAACGCATAAATAAACCCTAATATCATATAAAATAACGAACCAAATCCAGCATAACAATTAACTTGAATTGGACGTTCGTTGTATATCTCATAATTATAATGTTGAGATCTTTTTATTATTGCAGGATCTGGTTCTGGTACGAATATACACCAACGATTTATCACATCGCTTTTATGTATTAATTTTCTATAAATTGAAGAAAAATTAAATTTACGCATACTCGCATCGTTTTTCAAACATACATTTTAAGTTTTGGTTGAATCAAAGGTAGTTTTGTTTTAAACAGCAATTTTCGCTGGGAAAAAAGTTCAAATAAATTCGATGCAATGTATATGGCCGAATTATATGTACCAGCGTTCACGCTTGGTCCTCCTAGGTGTAAATCTGTTATGGTTGGATATAGATATGTTTCAACAGAATGTAATGTTCCTACAAACATTAAGAATGTAATTTTATGATTCAAATATATTTTTTCAATACCTTCAAAATTATTCTTTAAATAAACAATTCCCATTTCATTTGGAATACTATCCATTCCGCAAGTACTTACAATATAAATTCCTTTCGCTTTTGCTTCCTCATGGTACAATAATTGCATTTTTTCAATAAAAATTGCCTCTATACTAACATCTACATGGTGAGTACCAGTTTTCAAGCAAGATTTAATAACTTGTTCCCCATAAAGATGATAAGGTCCACAAGCGTTTATGATAATCCTTGCTTGAGAAGTCATCTGATTTAAAGAGATTTCATCGTTTACATCCGCGATTATAATCGGAACATTATCGTAATTATCACCTAATTAAAAATAATTTAATAATAATCTTTGATTTGTATAAAATCGGCTGCTTTAGTTTTAAGGTGAAATTTGACTACAAAATTTAAGCAAAATTATTTCTCACTTACCCATTTTTTTTCCAAATTCCTTTAAGATTCGTTTAATTTTACTTTTTGACCTTCCAGCAACACCCCATGTTAATGATAAACGATGTTGTTTTATAATATTTTTAATATATGGAATGGTTCTAAGCCCAGTAAAGCCGGTAACCCCGAATATTACGATGTCTAATCGATTGGCCATAATATGTTCAACGTAGTCAATCACAACCTCGAAATAATTCAATATGACCTCAATAGCGCCTTTTTTATAGACGATGTTTTTTTTTATAAGTATAATTGAAGAAAACAATATCTGAACTTAGTTCAATTAATTGCTTCTAGCAAATTTGATTTAATTAACAATAATCGACGAGATCACTCACCTAGTGTGTTCAACGAACAAAATTGTTTACTGTTGGTTAAGACTGTTGTAATCACTGGCCTGTTACCACATAATTTCTTCTAAAGTGGGCGTTCTTGACCATACATTCACGTTATCGAGGACGGTCACCAGAATTGCTTCATGTTATATAAACATTGATAAAAGTGAAGATTGGGCTTAAGATAATTTATTTGATATTTTGATTTATTTATATAGGTTAAGAATTATTTTGAAAAATACAATATTTTTAAAAATTGGTATTTTGGGTAAATAATGTTAGAATAATGTAGTTGATAATTATTTTGATCAACGTTTATTTTATAATAAATATTTAGATCACTTTACGTGTTGACAATTTACATGTTGTAAGCATAGTGATATAGAAAAGTTGTTGTTGTTTATGATTTTGTCATATACAAGATGTACGTACAAGATTCTGCTTTAAAATTGGCAACAATAAAATTCCCGCAAAAGCCATAAAGTCGTTTAATTATTCAAGAAAGTCCATCAGGTTATCATTAGCATTGCTAATGATAGTAGTAATATGGTTATAAAGTTAAACAATGTTTTATATGTACCGAATTTAGATAGCAATTTAATTTCAGTTAGTAATCTGGTAAGTAAAGGGTTAGAAGTTATATTTAATGAAAATGGAGGTTTTGTTAAATGTAAGGATAATATAATAATGAAATTTAATAAGTTAGGTAAACTATTTGTGTTAGATTTTGGTGAAAAAAACATATAAAATATCATTGCCAATAATTAAAAGATGCGTAAATGAATGACATAAGGTTTTAGCCGACCGAAATTTAACTGATATAAAGAAATTACAGTTATTATATCCTGAACAGATTAATATTACAAATTGTAACTGTTCAGATTTATGTGAAGAATGTTTAAGAGAAAAGATGACGCGACAGTTATTTCTTAAAAGTAATAAAACCGAAAAAACAATTCCGATAGATTTACTTCATTCAGACGTTTGTGGTCCAATAGAAGTTGTAACGAATCAAGGTTATAAATACATACTCAGTTTAATTGATGATTGTACAGACTATACAACTGTTTACTTAATAAAGGAAAAGAGTGATGTAGCAAACATAATTCAAGAACATATTAGTATGTTGGAAAATATATTTAACAGAAAACCAAAAATAATACGAAGTGATAGAGGCGGAAAATATATGTCTAAAGATCTGAAACATTATTTTAGACAAAAAGGAATTTTACATCAGGTTATGGGCCCAGATCGCGGGTTATAAAGATTGAAATACTTATATAATATAATATATAATAAGGAGATATAACAGAAAGATATCAAGATGGAAAGCGGAAAGCATATGGGTCAAATAAAGCTATTATCTAACAACAATTATCAGACATGGAAATTTCGAGTTGAGATGTTGTTAATTCGGGAAAATCTTTGGGAAGTTGTTACAAATGAACCACCAACTCCAAAAGAAGATATGTGGGACCTTACAGATAAAAAGGCTCGAGCAACAATTGGATTATTAGTGGATGATACCCAACTGAAGCTTATAAAAGAGAAAACAGCTATTGGTACAAAATGGGTGTATAAACATAAAACTAACGAAAGTGGAGTTAAAGAACGTTTCAGAGCACGATTAGTAGCACAAGCTTGTTCACAAAAATACAGAATTGATTATGATGAAGTATTTGCACCCGTAACTAGATCAATTACTGTAAAAATGCTTCTTGAATTAGCTAGTAAAAAGAGTTTACAGGTAAGACATCATGACGTTGAAACAGCATATTTAAATGGAGACTTAAACACAAGTATATTTAAAACCACCATTTGGTTTAAATACAACTAAAGTTTGCAAGTTGTTAAAAAATTTGTATGGATTAAAACAAGGTGCTAACGAATGGTTTAAAAAATTACAGAAAATTTTGATTGAAAATAATTTTAAACAAAGCGAAAATGATCATTGTTTATATTTTAAAGAAGTTAATGAAGATATGTTATACTTATCTATCTATGTAGATGATATATGTTGTGTAGCAAAATTTGATAAAACTTTTGATAATATGGAGCGAGCACTAAATAATTATTTCAAAATTGAATTGTTGGGAGAAATTACAGAATTTCTAGGTGTTCAAATAGAAAGAGATGGTCAGCATTTTCAACTACATAAAAGAAAATATATATCAAGAAAATTAAAAGAATTTGGCTTAGAAGACGCTAAGAATAGTGATATACCAATGAACACAGGATATAGAAAAGATGATTTTACCGGAAGCGAAAAATTTGACGAAAAACAATATAGAAGTGCAATTGGAGCTTTACTGTATATTGCAAATAATACTCGACCAGATATTTCTGCTTCAGTATCTATTTTAGCACAGAAAGTGACGAATCCAATGAAAAGGGATTGGATAGAAGTGCAATGAGTATTTAGATATTTGAAAAATATCATTGATTTAAAATTACAAATAAAATCAAGCCCAGATCAATCAACGGATCACCTAATTGCATATGTGGATGCAGATTGGGGATCGAATTTAATTGATAGGAAATCAAATAGTGGATATTGTGTATTCTTAAATGGCAATTTAATGACTTGGAGCAGCACATAACAAAAATGCGTAAGCTTATCGTCTACTGAGGCGGAATATGTTGCGCTAACTGAATTAATTACAGAGCTTGAATGGTACACGAGATTATTATCAGAAATAGGCGTTAATGTAACACCGATAATCTTCGAACATAATCAAAGTTGCATAAAACTTACCAAAAATGACCAGTTAAAGAAAAGAACTAAGCACATAGATACGAAATACCATCATATAAGGGATTTAGTAAATAAAAATAAAATAAATATAAAATATTTACCTACTGAAGATATGATAGCTGATATACTGACTAAACCGTTAGATAAAATAAAACTTAGGAAGTTTAGGAAAGGTTTAGGATTAATTTGATTAGAATATTCATTATAAACGTTGAGGGAGGGTGTTAGAATAATGTTGTTGATAATTATTTTGATCAACGTTTATTTTATAATAAATGTTTAGATCACTTTGCGTGTTGACAATTTACATGTTGTAAGCATAGTGATATAAAAAAGTTGTTGTTGTTGTTTATGATTTTGTCATATACAAGATGTACAAGATTCTGCTTTAAAATTGGCAAAAATAAAATTCCCGCAAAAGCCATAAAGTCGTTTAATTATTCAAGAAAGTCCATCAAATAACTCTAAATTTAATTCACTGGAATGGCTCATAAGCAAATATATAATTTTTGTATAATTTATAAATTCTGAGTTAATTAGATGTTATCTCAAATTTTGAATTTGATGTCGTGTAGTGTTTCAATTTCTGTGATCCCTACAGATCACAAGTGTATTTCAGGGTTGCGCCTCTAGTCACGCGAGCCTTGTTTTATCTCCCAATACCTTACGGAGGAAGTTATTGTCCCATCCCCATCTCCTAACCAAACCTACGATCTCATGAGTTTTGATTAGCACGAAAAAAAATAGTCTTGCCAAGCGACCCAACTAGTAATTGGAGCTAAAGGTCTGACTGTATGCGACCAGGCACCACATACAAATTCAGCTACTGGAAGAAATATATGGAAGCCATTTTATATGGGGATCTGGAATGTTCGTGGTTTGATTGAAATAGGAGAACTAGCCCTAGTGGAGAGAGAGATCAACAGATATCACATAGTGGAAATCTCAGTGACGCACTGGAGAGGTTCGGGATGTTTTGAGACCTTGAAACAACATCATCAACATCCAGAGTGTCGGAATTGTAGTGAATAAAAAACTGTTAATAAGAGAAATAAAGCCATCAATGACACGATAATTCTTATAAGTTTGTAGGCCTGTCCGATTAAACTCAATATAATACAAGTTTACTTCCTAACTGGAACAACCATTACACACTCTCCCTAATAGACAAATTATGATGATAATTGGCGATTTCAACGCCAAAATAGGAAACGACCCCTACGCTCTGCAGCAATTGGCAACTTTGGTTTGGGTGACAGAAACGCAAGGATAGAACGCCTACTGCAGTTCTGCATACAAAACTACTTCTTCATCACAAACACAGGCTTTCAACACCATTTGAGGAGACTTTACACATGGACATCCCTAGGTGGTCGGTATACAAATCAACTCGACTATATCCTAGTTAAATCGAGATGGAAGACCTCTATTAACAACGTACCAACACTTCTCGGCAGACTGCAATCAGTTTCTCGCGGCACAACTATTCGAAAACCTTTTGTGTTTCAAAAATCTTCAAGGCAAAAGCTAATGAAGAAATCTAAGCTAAAATTATCTCGATCACAAACAAACAAAAATGGCGCTAACTGATGCTGCACTACAAGAAGGAGACAAGGTGACGAAACAATGAAAGGCCTGGATATTCTTAAATACTTGGGATAAAGTGGAACGAAGCAAGCAACTAAAAGTCAAGGGTTTGCGAAATAACGACATATGTCTGTCTAGAAATAGAACAACATACACATACAAAACGTATATATATATACGCCCGTGATATGTTCAAGAAAATTAGACATAACGTGCAGCTTCATTCCGAAAAAGCGAGCAATAATATCCGCGGATGGTATGTTGTTGACTGACAAATCTCAGGTCAAAGAAAGGTGACCCAGTTATGAGAGAGGAAGTAAGTGCTGCGCTCAGAAAATTAAAACCCAGCAAATCACCAGGGGAAGATAACGTCGTGCGTCGTGTCCAAAATGATAATAGCAGTAAAAGACTCAGGAATCGATGTTATGCACAGAATATGTCAACTGATTTAGGATCAGGGTGGATGGTCCGAGGACTGGACTAAATCGATGTATACCCCACTCCACAAAAAGATTCCAGAGAGGTATGTGACAATTATCGAACAATTAATAGTAAAGCCCTACATGTTGGCACAACTGCCATCGGAGCAAGCGGACTTTATGAAAGGGCGTGGAACGCGAGGACAAATATTGAACATAAGACAAAATCATAGAAAAGGCTAGAGAATTTAACATGTCTACTTATTTATGCTTTATAAATTACACAAAGGTCTGCGATTGCACATCCTGGATGAAAAGTTCCAAGACACCTCATAACCAATCTCCATTCAATCGTAAGATATGTTTGTTTCTTTTTTAATCTCTTTCTTGGGGACAATGCCGTGACGCAAATTCCATTATTTAAACCTTAAGAAACTGAACTGCATACAGAAGATACTGTGCGAACAAATTACCATGGTGAGAAGAATGCTATACCACCATTGTATGATATACAATGGTGGTTCCCCGAATATTGTTGTTCGCTAGCGTGCTTTCAGAATTAACACACAGACAACGTCGTTACGCTTTTGAAATTCATTGAAAATTCCAAAATGGCATGAAATGCTGGACGTTACTTGGCATTGAACTGGCACGCACCCCTAGAGACGCAAGATGTGCTCAATCGTTTCTTTATCCTTTCCTTAAAACGGTACAACGGGTTATGGATAAGGTTTAAGTTTAGAGAGGCTTGTTTACCTCACTATCGATGTGCCTGTTATCCGAACAGTATTTTTAAATCCACTGGAGTCTAACACAATTACGTATAGTTACTTTCTAAATCATCCTGTCATCCCCATCGACTGTGTCCTTATTCAGAATTAAAACAGGTCCTACTGTCTGCTGTCAGTATACATTACAAAAGACTTATTTTGTTTGATTTTGAAGCGATAAGTTTTATAGCCACTTACTAAGGCATTTTGGCAGTAGTATTTTTACCTAAACGCTCAGATAGATGGAGTCGAAGACCATATAAAAATGCTCCAGTGAATGACATTCTGAAATTGTCAATATTACAAACGTATATATACAATAATTTCCAATTTCCTAAGGTTAAACGTGGGGATTTGTTTATCACAACAGTTTTACAACATCTTTAATAAAGACGGCCAAATCAACCTCACAGCCAAATGTTGTGAAATTGGCTTCAATGAGGCGATAAATGATGTGACAAAGTTATTGTTAGCTCTAAGTTTTCCTATCCTATGTATTAAGTGCTCTCAAGTCAACCAGACAAAGAAGATTGTCTAATTGAAAATCTTAAATATTTTCAAGGCAGGTTACTGACAGTCCAAAAAGTGGTTACTAAGCGAAGACATCACAACCTGATTAAATACATGAGTTTCTTGGATCAGTATAATATTGTTTTTCATCATAACTAAATCTATAATGACAGTTGCAGAAATGTCAATTGCTATGATGTAGGTTGCATTAGATCATCTTTAGCACATCACTGTACATTGTGATCTTTATTCATTGTGATGAGATGGTATGGTATGTTGAGGTATTCTTTGAAGGGTTCGACAGTACTGTGATACGGTAGCAAAAGGTGCCTAAGTTCCACAGATCCGATTTTAATGAAGCCCTCACCATCAAGTTGCTACGCAATAGATGAACTCATGAACTGATCTGAACCTAATGCCTAATTTCAATAATTTTTGCTTCAACCTCAGTCACTTTCCTAATCTGCCTATAATCACAAGTCATAACCGAACCACTTTTTAACTTGATAGTAAACAATCTTCCTTACACAGGATTTCTTTTTCTTTTTCGAAAGGACTATGATTTTATGTTATCGTCATTAAGTGAATCTTACCTAACATATTATCTCTTAAGGGCTCAAGCTCAGAGCTGAACCTCTTCGTTTTTGGAACTAAAACCCAAAGCACGAGTTTTGACAAACAGGGAATTGTCCCTAGCCGAAAGTAGAAACGAAGGAAGAGGTTTGTAAGTTTTGTTCGCATTCTTTCCTTGTATTACCTGTTAAGAGATTGAAATCTACAAAATTTGCTACACCATCAAATCCTGGAAGAGTTTAATCCAACGTTCTTTGAAATTTACGAAACGATTTATTTTAAACATCTAGCGTAGACCACGATAACAGCTTTGATGATTGCTCATCCAAACATAATTGATTGTTAGCATTACATAAATAAACTGTAGAAAAATATCCTCTTCACATGGTAGTGGATATCTAACATCTGGAAATACCTTGTTGATAGTAATTTTGTAGTACGTAGTGTTGTATTCGAAACTATTTTGAAAACAAAGCTAATAGATTTAAATTACCTCTGTTTTTTGTCATATAACACGAAATTATATTTTTATATTATTATAACCAATCCATTTAACGGATTCAAAGCTTCTACTATATTCCTTGAAGAATGTTATTAGTAAATTAAATGTTTATCCCTTAATGTTATTTTGAATTGCTAATCAGAGTGTCTAAAATGACTAAAATATTTTCAGTTATTATCGACAAGCCTGATATTACTGAAGATTTGCCTCTAGAGGGCAACACTATTAAAAATATATTATCCTATAGATACATGGAAAGCTGAGGAATGGTGTTGAAGCGGTGGGGCTTAGGGTCAACATGAAGAAGGCAAAGTTACTACTACAGACGAGGACTAACATCAGTATCGAGACAGCGATAAATGATAACATAGAAGCCTCACTTTATATACAATGGGGTAAAATTATCTGGGCGGGGTACAGAGGAAGGAGAAGTCAGGAAGAGATCAGTCCTGGCCAATAGAGCGTATTCTGCTTTGACCCCCATATTCACATCTAGGCATATCTACCAAGAAACTAAACGGTGTATATACAAAACAATCATTAGACCGATTGTAAGCTATGGGAGTGAGGCATGGACGCTGACGCAAAAGTCGGCGAATGTCTTCGAGAGAAGGATCGTGAGGAGAATATTTGAACCAGTTCGGGAGGAGGATGGATAGAGATTAAGATACAACCGCGAGTTGTTTGAGGATACAGACCCGCCACTGGCACAGTTCGTCAGACTCCAACGCCTAAGATGGGCTGGCCACGTGATCAGAATGGGAGAAGACAGAGTACCGAGATGACTGATCGGTAGAAGAATGCAGGGAGTGAGACCGAGGCAGCGGCCGAGATTGAGATGGGAGGAAGCAGTCGACCAGGACGCTAGGGAGATGGTAGGGAGTAGGAGTTGGAGGAGAGAGTCATGACAGGCATGAATGGAGGCAGAGGCTGAGGGAAGCCAAGGCTCGATACGGGCGTTAGAGCCATAGATGAATAGATACTTGGAAGTGCAAATTACAGACAAGGGGGATAGCAATGAGGAAATAATTTCTAAAATGGGTCAATCTAAAGCAGTATACAGAAAAAATAAAATACGAATGTATAAAATGGATAAAAAAGCGTTTATATTTACTCCACGATGATAAAACAAGAAATTAATTGTATAAATCTAGAATTAATTAGAAACTAACTCAAACTTAAAATTGTATCTCTGTAATCTTTCAATTAAAGATGTTTTAGCAAACGCAGCCCCTGGAGGATAACAACCACCACTGTAAGATAAAGTATATTCAAAGAGTTAATACCGGAGTAACAGTGAAAGTTACTTACTTATTGGGCATTTTATCTTTTTCAACTAACAACGTAATGGCACACGCAGCTAAAGCTATACAAGTTGCTCCATAGGCAGGATTTCTCCCGATTACTTTTCCAACAATTTTTTTGGTTGGTTTTGTGGTAAACTTATCAGTTGGTTCAGATAATTTCCCCGGCCAACCTTCCCCGCAAAGAGTAGTTTCATAAATTAAATTGTTTTGTCTTTCTTCAGACGGCCCTTCATGACCAAATAAACCAAACGAAAATAATTTTGGGTACTAAAATATAAATTGTTCTTGATTATTCCACATTTTATGAACATAAAAATAATTAATAAATATAACCTTAATTAATAAATTCCTTGTAAATGAAAATTGTGAGAAAAACACAATCAAAAATCCAATGATCATCATAATTGGTACATATAAGAAATGATTCACTTCAATGTAGTTTTCAACTTGAACTGGTCGTTGATTGTATAATTGATATAAATATTTTTGGCTTCTGGTTATTGTTGCTTTATCAGGTTCGGGTAATGGTAGAGCCCATTTTTTTGTAACTCGACATTTATGTATAAATTTGCTATAAATCAAATTATGTGAAATTACCTTAAGAAAATCCGCAAATTGACCAAACTTACTTTGCAAGTTTTGGTGTAACTTCAGCCTTTGGCATTATTTTAAATAACTTTGAACGAACCTTATATTGTTCAAAAGGATATGCTAAACATAATATAATCGACTCCCAAGTACCGGTATGACCCATTGGACCTGTATATGGACCACCTTCTTCTCGTAATGAAGTATAAGTTTCAACAGAGTTTAATGTACCTAGTACACAAAAGAAATAAATAAACAAGGGTTTAAAAAAGTATCAAGAAAGGAAGATGGAAAACGTAGCCAATCTCGTTTCCATAGTGTTAGTTATTTTTGCCAAAAGAAATTAATAGTAAATTAATCTCGACATTCAGGAGGGGTAGATCTCTTTGTTTGTTGGAGATAAATCACAGTGTAACAGCAACAATGTTAGTTAGATAGAACTTGTAGTAACAGAAACCTTTATTGTTAAAAAACCAAGACTGTTAGGAATAAGTTTTTATAATTAATGCGCAACACTTGAAATAGGAGTCGTTCTTTTGAGAGGTCGCAACAAACTTGTTTGCTGATATAATTGAAAAAGATTCTACAACATAGTCACTGTTGACATAACAGTTGCTGATGCGAAGAATATAATTGCATACTTTTTGAAGTTAAGAAGAATTTTACACTTTCTAAACAGAAGCAGATACATACCTTCGTCACCATCTTGTTTCTTGTGGAGAGGATTTGATGATTACGAACATTGTAAAATCAGTTGAATACAACTAGAGACCTATTGGTGTTATGTTGTCTTTGTACTATCAAATGATTTGGATTAAAGTATAAGCTTGTCATTGGAATTCATCTGAACTTACTTAGTGTGTTGAAAATTCAGAGTTGGTTTGCTATAAATATTCTGTGGTTGCGACCAATAGGGACAGTATAATTGATAAGTCAACTGGTAGTAGTATACTGATTAATGTTTCGGATTTAAGGAAATGTTGATTTTTATATGGGCTATACAAATACCGAAGGTATTCGTTAAGATCACGGAGGGATTTCCTGAATTGCTTTTTATTGTTCTTATTGAGCAGAAGAATCTGTTGGAGGACTTTACTATTCTGCATTTTATTATAGTGAAAGCTAGCTGTTCGAAAGAAGCTTCATGAAAGTTGTTTTATGACATGTTGGGTCTTATTCAGTATAATGAGCGCTTGAACACCATCAATAGTTCATCAATATTCTCTTTGATACTAGTTTGTCTAGCTCTGTAATAATAATAGTAATTTATTGATTTATTGATGGCATAGTACAAGTTCACAAAAGAAGATATTCAAAAGAAAGATATATTATATACATTGTTTTCGCTTTAATACCAATTAAAAATTCAATTGCTCAACTTTTCATCCTGAAAGTACTCATTTAGTTCGTAGTAAGGGTTTTCTTCCAAATATCGTTCTAATTTTATCTTTAACCGAGGTGTTGTTAAAGATTTTAAATCATTCGAAAGATGATTAAATATTCTGGCCGATTGGTACATCACATGTTTTTGAATTCGAGTGAACTTTGTTATGCGCAGATTTAGCAGATTTTTATTTCTTGTGAAATATTCGTGAGTTCTTTGCATTTGTTGGTAATGCTGTGGATACCGTCTCATACACAAAATGCTTTCCAAAATGCAAATGTTAGTTAAAGTAAGTATTCGATTTCGCTTAAAATATTCTTTGCAAGAATCTAGTCTCTTTAATTCGTAGATAGATCTAAAACATCTCTTTTGTAGTAGGAATACTCTATTCACGGCCGAGGAAAAGCCCCAGAAGATGCCACCATATCTTAGTAACGGACACACTGTTTCGTAATAAGTGAGTAAAGCTGCATCAGTGGATGATCTAGCTTTAACTTGCTGGATAAGCTAAACATATTTGGTCATCTTAGCAGCCAAATATTCGATGTGTTGCTTTCATTGAAGGTTACTATCCATTATCACACCAAGGAATTTGTCAGTGTGGGTGGACACCAACTGTTCGCTTGCATACCNAGACCAATAGGGACAGTATAATTGATAAGTCAATTGGTAGTAGTATGTTGACTAATGTTTGGGATTTAAGGAAATGTTGATTTTTATATGGGCTATACAAATACCGAAGGTATTCGTTAAGATCACGGAGGGATTTCCTTTTTATTGTTCTTATTGGGCAGAAGAATCTTTTGGAGGATTTTACTATTCTGCATTTTATTATAATGAAAGCTAACTGTTCGGAAGCAGCTTCATCAAAGTTGTTTTATGACACGTTGGGTCTTATCCAGTATAATGAGCGCTTGAACACCATCAATAGTTCATCAATATTCTCTTTGATACTAGTTTGTCTAGCTCTGTAATAATAATAGTATTTTATTGATACAAAATCGCCACACTATTATAGCATAGTACAAGTTGACAAAAGAAGATATTCAAAAGAAAGATATATTATATACATTGTTTTCGCCTTAATACCAATTAAAAATTCAATTGCTCAACTTTTCATCCTGAAAGTACTCATTTAGTTCGTAGTAAGAGTTTTCTTCCAAATATCGTTCTAATTTTATCTTTAAGGTGTTGTTAAAGATTTTAAATCATTCGAAAGATGATTATATATTCTGGCCGATTGGTACATCACATGTTTTTATACATGGAGACTATGGCTAGGATAAAAGTGGGAGATAAGCTGAGTGAAGTGTTTTGGACGACGAAGGGACTGAGGCAGGGATGTCCGCTGAGCCCAAGTCTGTTTGCACTGTATACGGCGGACCTGAACGATAGATTGGGGAAGGGGCAAATGGGAGGGTTGGTGGTGGGAGGTAGAAAGGTGCATATGTTAGCATACGCGGATGACATCGTGATCATGGTGAGAGAAGCGGCGGAGATGAAGAATATGGTAAAGACATTGGAAAGATATTGTAGGGGGAAGGGGCTGGAAGTGAATGTGGGGAAGACAAGGATGATGAACTTTTGTAAGGGTGGGAGAAAAAGAACAGAAAACTGGAGATGGGAGGGAAAAGAGATCGAGGAGGTTAGGGAGTATACTTACTTGGGGTATGTGTTTAGGGAGGACAACAGGGAGGGGTCGCATGTGATAGCTATGGCAAATAAGGTTATGGGACAAGTATGGGGTTGGGGGAAGAGAGTCTTTGGAAGGAATGAGGCAGCGAGGAAGATTATGTTTGAAGGTCTGGTTAGCAGTGTGATGATATATGGGTCAGAGGTATGGGGATGGAGAGAGCAGGCAATGCTGGAGGACGTGCAAGCTAGATACTGGAGATGGGTGCTTGGGGTGGCGAGAGAAACACCGGGGTATATAGTGAGGGAAGAGGTAAGGGTGGATAAGGTCAGAGTGAAGGCGGGCAGGAGGGCAGTGAAATATGAAGAAAGAATAGAAGAGAGGCCAAACTGCGGGATCTTGGGGGAGTGTTGGAGGGAAATTAGAAAGGGAAAGATCAGATATGGGAAGGGAGATAGAGACAACTATTATAGACGAGCGGGCTACTCGGTAACTGAGATAAATAGTAGACGAAGGGTGGGTAGGGAGATGTGGAGGGAGTTGAGAGATAGGTACTGAGATGTGCAGAGACAGGAAAGAAGGACACAAATAAAAGAAGGAAGGTATAACGAAAGGTACAGGGACATAATTACGGAGGGGCTGCCTAGATACTTGTTATTGGAAGGAGATGAGGAAGGGAAGAAGTTGGTGGCTAGGTTCCGTTGTGGAAACGAGGAGAGAGCGAACAGATACTGGATGGCCGATGAGGAGAGGTGGTGTAGGCTATGCAGGGAGGAATGGGAAACGTTGGAACATATGTTGAATGGGTGCAGTGAGTTGAGGGAGGAGGAGTTGGACCGAGGGCAGATCTTAGGAGAGGGGGGAGAGGGGAAACGATGGATGAGAATGGTTGTGGGGATGAGGGGACAAAGGGATGGATGAGGGGATGATTGGGCCGTGGAGCCGAGGGTGTGGAAATGGAAGAAGAGGGTAGAGGGTGAAAATAATATATTAATAATATAGATTAGAATGTATTAAAGGGAAAATTGTGAATATTAAAAAACAATAAAATGCTTCTTATTAAGTTTTTGAATTCGAGTGAACATTGTTATGCGTAGATTTAGCAGATTTTTATTTCTTGTGAAATATTCGAGAGTTCTTTGCATTTGTTGGTAATACTGTAAATGGAAATGTTAGTTAAAGTAAGTATTCGATTTCTCTTAAAATATTCTTTGCAAGAATCTAGTCTCTTTAATTCGTAGATAGATCTAAAGCATCTCTTTTGTAGTAGGAATACTCTATTCACGGCCGAGGAAAAGCCCCATAAGATGCCACCATATCTTAGTAACGGATACACTGTTCCGTAATAAGTGAGTAAAGCTGCACCAGTGGATGATCTAGCTTTAACTTGCTGGATAAGGTAAACATATTTGGTCATCTTAGCAGCCAAATATTCGATGTGTTGCTTTCATTGAAGGTTACTATCCATTATCACACCAAGGAATTTGTCAGTGTGGGTGGACACCAACTGTTCGCTTGCATACCTTACCATAATCCCATCACCTGAATTCGTTATGGTATTTCGGTTTTGCTCGTATTTAGTCTAAAATTATTTGCACCAAACCATTTCTCTCCTACCAACACTCTATGGTATTAACGATCTTGTCCTCAAGATTTGCATATCCTTAACATATCACAGAGGTGTCGTCCTCATACAATACTACCGGTTGATGAATTTCTTCAGGCAAGGAGTTCACGTACATACATTACAAAAAGTATTGGACCCAAGATTGATCCTTGCGGTATACCTCATTTGTACCATCGTTTCCTCTCATTTTAACGCATTGTTTTCTGACGACCAGATAATAATTAATTAGACATTGAACTTTTCCTCTTACACCCATATTCCATAATTTTTCCATTAGTATACTCGTCTCTAGAGAATCAAATGCCTTTGATAAATCAAAATACAAGCCAGCCACTCTCTTGCCGTTCTCATTTAAATTCTTTATTATTTCTGATGTCATTTGATAGATGCATCGTTCTGTATTCCGTCCTTTTAAGTATGCATTTTGTTTTTCTGTGAGAATATTATTTCATTCTAGAAAGGTAACAATTCTGCTGGAAATTATTTTCTCAAAAACTTTAGAAACATTGGATATCAATGTAATAGGTCTGTTGTCATAAATTGGGTGTGACATCCTTTTTTGAATGGAAGCATGACTATAGCTTTTTTACTTGCCAGTCTTCCATGCTTACATTACATAATATATGTGCATAAGAGGTCCACTAATAATAATATCTGCAACGCCTATTATTAGTTTGGCCGGAATTTCATCTGGGTCCACTGCATTTGTATTATTCAACGACATTATTGTGTTAAAAATTTCAGTCTGTGTAACCAGACGTAGAATTATTGTCTTTAAACACAATCTTTTGCTGTGTTGTTTATTATGCATTTCTGGCTGTTTCCAGTCGCACACGTTTGCGAAGTATTCATTAAATCTGTTTAATGTTTCTTTCTTAGTTTCCCCATAATTTCTCATATTTTCTACTGTATTGTTTCCAATCCCCTTCTTCGGTCGAATTATATTCCACGCAGCCTCATTTTATTATTTGCATTTTGTATACTTTTTGAGTTGTACTGTTGCTTCGCCACCTTTATTACTTCTTTCAGAACCTTACAATAGCTCTTATAATATGTTATATCCAATAATGCTTCTATGGTTTTTTTGTGTAATATCTTCTTCTTTTGACAAGATATCGTAATACCAGCAGTAATCCATTGAGACTTATGGTAAGTTATGTTTTTTTATGATGATATTAAAAATTATACGAACATAGATTGGTCAAAATGTATTGCAGTATGTAGTGATGGTGGAAAGGTGATAACAGGAAAGAACTGTGGATTAATCAAAATATTAAAAGATCGTCTACAGACATGCTCTCGTCGCAAATAATATGCCGGAAAATCTAAAAAAAAATTCTTGTGAAGTTGTAAAGATGGTCAAATTTATTAAAAGCCGACCGTTACAGAACAGACCGTTTGCTAAACTATGCGATGAAATAGGCGAAAATAAAAAATCTTTTTTTTTTTCCACACAGATTTATTCCACGGGTATTGGAATTGCGAGATAAATTAATAATATCTTTCTAGGATAAGCAAACGTCATTCTCATCGTTTTTACAGAATACAGAGTATGTTGTTGTTGGCTTACTAAGGCCCACTTTTACCACCTCTTGATAAATTTATCCGATAGATAAATCCAGCTCTTAGCCAATAAGGTCCATTACTACCATCTTTTAGTTAAATTTATCTTATAGATAAACCCATCTGCTAGCCAATCAGAGCGCGTGAAATAGCCGTAACCATAGTAATAATCCCTTAGATAGCTTAACTAGAAGATGGTAGTAACGAGCCAAAGACCGCTTAAAACCTCCGTAACCATGGCAACTATCCTCTAGATAGTTTATCAGAAGGATGGTAAATGTAGGCCTTAGCTGATAAAGAATGCTTTCGCATTTAAATGACTTGAATTTGAATTTACAAAGACATGATAAAAACATTTAATTAATGACAGACAAAGTTCCAATCATTGAAAACATTTTAAATGAAAAACAGATGCAGTCATCATATTAATTTCTTTTCATTGTATATTTATTATTAGTAAAATCTTTTTACGTTGGTAATAAATGAAAGAAATTTTCCTATGTTTACGTTAATTAAGTTATTTATGTATCTATTTTTAGTGTCAAATAGATGCTTACCTTTAAAATTATTTTGTAGAAAAATAACTCCAAGATCTGTTGGTACACTTCCAATTCCACAACTGCTTATTAAATACACTCCTTTTTTCAAAGCATCTTCATGGTACTTTAATTGCATTCCTTCTTGAAAAGATGCTTCACCGGAAATGTCTAAGTAATGAGTACCAGTTTCTAAACATGCTTTAACAACAATTTCTCCATAATTTCTGTAAGGTCCTACAGTGTCTATTAATAGTTTAGTTCGTGAAGTCATATCCCTTATCGATTTTTCATCGTTTATGTCACTCATGATTATTGGAACGTTAAAGAAAAAACCTAAATCGAAAACTCATATATTATTTAATTTTTGTTTCAGTAAGTTGTATAATTACCTGTACGTTGTTTTATTTGGTTTAAAGTATTTTTTAATTTATCATATGACCTTCCTGCAATACCCCATTTTAAATTCAATTTTTCCTTATCTAAAATGCGTACTAATTCCGGTATAGTTCTCAAGCCCGTAAAACCAGTAGCACCAAATATTATGATATCTAAGCGGCTGTTAGCCATTTTAGGAACGTCAATAAAATAAATCGTATGAAATAATATTTTAACGATGTCTCTTAATAAGTGTTTACTCGATTTATGTAATAAAGCTGATATTTATTATCTTGAAATTTTGATATCACTTTCAAAATAAACAAAAATAATTGGTATGTTACACTTGTACTCAGTAATAAAAAAAGAGTGTACTTGAAACAGGATTTATATCGAGAATTTTATGTTAAAAATAGTATTTAATCATGACATAAGTCGAGTATTATCAATGACTTAACATAACTTTTGGTATGATAATAATGTTCAAGGTTATATAATTTAATTATTTCAACTGATTTAAAATTTTACTAATTTAATAATAATTACATTAAATCGTTAAAATTACTACAATAAATAAAAAGTAGAATTCTAGATTTTGCTATCATTTCATTTATAATCATGCAAAACTTGCAAATGTTTATTTTTTAATCGAATCATGTAAACCAAACACCTACCACTAATAATGCATTTTAAATAATGCAACTTATAGATTATCTATTAATTAATAAATCATTGAGTTTGAGTCCATCCGTGGAAAGCACCTCTCATGTAAAAGACCATTGTTGTAAACTTTTCTTTTCTGTATTTGTACTTATGGTTCACAGTGAACAAAACGTTACTCCACTATTGCAACAAATCTGAACGAAACAATACAGAGGTAATTGACAAGTTTTAATCTACAAGTTCTCCAGATTTATATTACTAGGAACGGACGGTTTCTCTTCATCTATGTCATTTACTCTTCTCTTTTCTTTCAGGCGTATAAAGGAGTTATCATATTTTACATAGGAAAATCTTGACCTGGTAAAAACTTTCAGACCAATTTATCTCGACGCTTTTTCTTTATAATTATTGGAGATACCTCTTCATGGGCATATTATGGCTACCACCAACAATGATCCTGTTTAATCGATATGCAACTTAGAGAATTCACTGACAAACCAAGATATGGTAACACTTCTCCACCAGTTGACCATTCGAGTATTGTTAGAGTCGCATTCAAACATGGAGTAGAAAACTAAAGATTTACTAAGTAGTGGTTTAAAGTTGTTAAGCTGTACATACAGTAGACTCCAGTTAAAACGTATCGTCACGGGATCAAAAAGTGCGTACGTAATATCAGGGAGTACTTTATAGTAAAATATCATTTTGAAGTAAATGCGCGTTACCAATTTGTTCTCATTTTCAAAACCGAGAAAATTTAATATAGAAAATAAACCATTGGAAAATGGATAGCAGTTAATCAAATATCATGTGTATGATCTTTAGTACCTAGTACCTACACAGTGTCAACTGTGTTTTTCAAGCAGCATAACGCCTTCGTAATGTTCTGGATGGAATCCCAAATCATCAGGATATATCCTTGACTCTCATGTTTTTTTTGTTAATTTCATCGAAAGCTGACTATAATTGTTCTGTAGTTAAAGAACGTACTCGAGCTCGTCCTCCTTCCTTTCTTTTTTATTTTCGTGGCATGGTTCAGCTTCAATCAGTAGGCATTAATAAATATACGCATAAGACATACACTATATGTACTAATTCAACATAATATTTTCAATAAGTAATAAAATATTCTTTTCCAAGTGTTAAGCAATGATGCCATGACCTTCTCATCTGCAGCGACATTTGTCAACAAAACATCGTGTGTTATAGGATCCATACCAAAAAAGTTTTTTTGCTGCCAAATGTAAAAGTTTGAAACGCATAAAATTGGATCCTTTGCTCAGCCAACTGAAAAGAGGCTTGAAGCTTCGTAAGAATTATCCCTACTCATCGCAAAGACCAAGAAATGCCACATTTTCGGTGAAACACTTATCAAACGTTGCCTGTTGGAAGCATTCTTAGACCAGAAAGTAAACAAAAATTTTCACAAATATTGCTTTCTGACAATACTGTGAACGTCGCATCGATGATATTCGATGATATTCAGGTAGTGGAAGCCGTGAAAGAATCAAAGTTTTTCGCAATGCAGTTGGACGAGACTAGGGATGTTGCACTAATGTCTGAACCCAGGATAGTTTAATAGCTTAACGTTCTATTTTTAAAGCTAGTAAGCTTCCCCCACTGATTTCACTGTCCTGTCTTGGGTTTAGCTTCGTGTGACCGGGGAAGTTAGTATTGAAGATAGTATCACGGAAGTGTTGTACCGTCAATACCGTCAACCGTCTGCAATGATACTGGCTTGGCTGGCTTAAAATTACTGACATCATGTAAACAGCACTAGCATCTTCCAAGCGAGGGCAGCAAGCCAGGACAGTTATCTAACTTGCTATGCTAGCTTACAAAACTAGGCTCGTGTATTGTGTATTCCGGGCATCAATGACAACTTCAAAAGCAATTGATATAATGACAGCTATCTCCGAATTCTTTGACGTACATGAACTGTCATGGAAAAAATTGATAGCCATATACACAGACGGCACTATCTCACTGCTGAGCTCTTGCTCAGGATTCGTACGGTTGGCCAAAGAAAAACTCCTAATGTAACCGTTATTCATTGTTTTATCCAACTTTTAACCGTCTTTTGTGAAGATTTGGGCACATAACATAAAACATTATTATTCCATTCGGAAGTGGGCTCTCAAAATAAATGTGTTAGCAAGGTAATATTCGCTTCAAAATGAAGTAATTTTGTTTTTAGACATCCAAAAACAATCTGAACAATATGTAGAATTCAGAAAACCAACAGTCCTAGCAGTATTGGCTTATCTATCGGACATTTTCGATTCCTTGAATTTACTAAACATGAAATTACAAGGTGGAGGACTCGAACATAATTTATCATTGAGATAAATTATCACGGCGTATATTAAAACATTGCAAAATTGCATCTTGAATTGCAAAATTTTAGCATGCAGTTATTCTTGCTTTCCTAAATTGTTTTCAATCTCAAATGAAGCAAGTTTCAAGGAGGTTTTTGAAGACACTGATAATATGAAGCATAAAATATGAAAACCATTTGCAGTACCTCACCGATGAATTCAAGCGTTACATCTCTAACTCGTGCGATAGTAACATTTATAAGTTGGGCACGGATTTTTTAACAGCACTATAAGATCAAGTTTTGGAAATTATAAATGATTCTGTTGCCAAATATGATTTTGAGAAGATGAATAAGTCACTATTTTGCGTAAAATATCTCAAAGTTTATCCCAGCATAGCAGAGCAAGCGCTGCAACCGTATTTACCCTATTTCAGCACCTATTTGTGCGAAAAAACGTTTTTTACAGTTGTGGCAATAAAACTGAAATATAGAAATAAACTTAATATTATTAGTGATCTACGTTGTGCACTTTCTTCTATTCAGCCTAGAATTGGAAATCTTGTCAAAAATATGCAAGCTTAATTAAACCAAAACTAGAACTAGCACTATCACTAGACCTAGAAACTTTAGGGTTAAGCCGTGCGTCTTTTTAAAAAATGTTTGACCTTATCAGAAACAAGTTAGAAGTGACGAAATCGGTTAAAATTTAACAATAAATACATGAAAATATAATTAATGGGTTTCGTGAGTTCACTAGCATCTTCCACATGCGGCTGGGTTCTCAACCGTCTTCTCTATTCATGTTATTCCCATGTCGATGAATCTCTATCGCCTCTATCGTCAATCTTAGGAAGTAATGTCCGTTTTTCGCTAGCACTTTGGTTTTGCCAAATTTGTGGTGTGTCCTCCTCCGTGGCAATACTCTGCAACTGCAGACTGTTGGAGTTTTCTCAGTCGGACATACCTCTCATGTTCCTTGATGCGGCATTCGATGTACGATAGCCTCCCGCTCCCTTTAATGTGGTTAGTTTGTCTTTGGCTATAGAAAGAGCGTTTTGTATTTTGCTGACCATACCGTATCGTACCACGATATCATTCTTCTTCAGATACCTCGCAATTCGCTCCATCACACCTGAAACATAAGGAAGGCAGATCAAACCGGCTGGTGTCGTACTTACCGAGTCATCCTTCTGTTTGCGTGGTTTGGTGGCTCGTTGGATATCGCTCATTGTATAGTCGTTCTTCTGCAGTACATCTTCTAGGAATCTTTCTTCTTTTCTGAGGTTCTTTTCACATATTCTCTCTGCTCGCTAGAATAAGGCTTGAATTACGGACCTCTTCTCTTGTGGGTGGTGGTGGGATGAAGCCACCATGCAGGTGCCTTCATATGCGTCTTCTTTCGATATACTCCCGATTCCATGCCCTCAATTCAACTGTTTTACAGTTTCTGTTTCCATGGTAAATTTTATCATGATGTGCTGTGATTTGAGGTGGTCTAGAAATTCCTTGAGTTGCTCTTTTCCATGTTTGCAGATCACGAAAGTGTCATCGACGTAACCGAGCCATAGCTTCGGTTTCCACGGACTCTTCTTCAACATCTCCAAATGTAAAAATTGACGATCACAGGTAATAGCAGTGATCCCATGGGAGCTCCTTCGCATTGCTCGTAGAATTGGTTTCCCTTCCAGCTAAAATATATCGACGATAGTACTCCCTATCGACTATATATTTTAGCTGGTAGGGCCAGTCCTAGGACATACTTTGGCAAACCCTTCGGGATGAGTTTCTGGCGAAGACTATACACAGCATCTTTGACTGGTACTCTGGTGAATAGAGATTCCACGTCCAAACTTATTCCTGATGATTTTACAAAATGTATGGATACTGCGACATACGACTCTGTTTATCTGTAAAAAAAGACAGAATCTTGGAAAGGTTTTTTGCTAGCTGAAAGGTGGGAGAATTTATGGCACTGACAATAGAGCGTAGTGCGACCTCTGGTTTATGGATTTTTGGTAATCCTCTATCCTTGGGGGTACTGGGGCCTGTACGAATACGCTTTTCTGTTGTTCTGCTGGGATTCTAGTGGATTTTACCAGTTCTTTCATCTTCCTTACTATTTTCCCGACTGAGTCCTTTTTTATCTTCTTATACGTGGCTGGGTCCAAAAGGTTCGTGATCTTATCATCGTAACACATACTGTACTGTTTTTGGTACTCTCGCTGCATAATTTAAACCTTTGGCGAGTACTTTAGTTTCCTCATCTGTTAATGGGACGCTTGATCGGTTGATGACGACTGTTTCGATTGACAAATCGTTGTTCTTCTTGTGGGTGCGGTGGTCCAACAATTCGAATTTCTTAATCTGCTTATCCCGACTTCTTTGGAATTTATGTTCAGCCTTCTCCATGGTTATTCTGTTAATTGTTAGAGAATAACCGAAAGAAGTGAGAGAGATAAAGGATTTATCTGGAGACACGTGTTGGTGCACAGCGCACCGATCGGCAGTTGCCCCCGTTGGAGTACGTCC